TTAGCTATATCGTATCGTTTTTGTTGACCTTACCATTTACAAGTAAAGAATTAAACTACTTCCCCTTTCGTCTACAACGTTACGACACATACACACACACACACACATCATCCACATCAAAAGTGGTGCCGCTAATACTCCAAGGGACCTCCAATTCTCCTCGATAACCAACGTGTAAAATCCCCCTGCTTGTTCCAACTATTGACTGACTGCAAATTACTTCAACAGAAATCCACGACAGCGGCCAGTTCGCGCACGCTATGCCTTCCCTGAAAAATCCACTATGCAGATTGAGAGATACACCCACTTTTTAAAGTTCTGTAGCGACAGGAACAAAACGACAGGTGATAAGGTGCATTGAAAGCTACAAACTCAACCTGCATGCAGGCGGTTCAGAACACTGGTCGAAATTGACCTCGAAGATGACAATCTTGCTCGGCAACATCCTGAACGACCAAGCAGCCTTTTCCAAGGAGAGTATTGCTTGCTCCACGCGAAGAGAGGCCTAGAAAAAGCTCATCTCCATTTCCACCCGGTAAGCTAACCGTAATCAACGGGCATCTTCTAACGCGATCAAATAAAGATGAAAGACGAAAGCGTACACCTGCCTCTAAAAATGTGCTCAGATTGACACTCGCATGCTGGAATACCAGAACCATGCCTGGTAATGTGAACAGTATTCTGAGTGTCATTCTGCTCTTATTGTGCACGAACTATCACGATTTAACATCGACATTGCTGTTTTCAGTAAAGTTCATCTCCATAAGGATGATAGTTTCAGAGAACATAGTGTCGACTACACATTCTACTGGTCAGAAAAATCCAAAACCGAAAGTAACCTTCCAGAAGTTTGCTTCATGGTTAAAAACTACCGTCTTCAAACTCGAAAATCTACCAACAGGCCATTCCGATTACATTATCTCTCTATGTCTCCCAATACACAACAAAAAACAAGTTGTTTTCTCCAGGATATATGCTCCAACTCTCAAGCTGACCTTATGAGAAAAAAAAAAAACAAATTCTATACCGATCTATGATGTCTCATCCAAAAAGTTCTTGCCGCCAGAGTTGGAAAGAATTCCGAAACCTAGAAAGGAGCATTAGGCAAGCAGATATTGGAAAATGCAACGACAAGGATGGTTCCTGCTAGAATTTTGTGCAGAGCAACAACTCACCATCACAAATATTGCAGCTTGAAGACAATGTGAGTGCATCCTCGATCCAAGAAGCACTGGTACCTCATCGACTATGTCATAATGCGGCAGAGAAACGTTCACCATGTTCATCACATTGTGATGCCTAGTGCAGAAGGTCAAATAGACTATCCTTTGTGCGATGCAAACTTTATCTCCGCTTTAAACCCAAACCTGAGGGAGACAGAATTCCAAGGAGAAGACTCAAAATCAACATCTTCAAACAATTATGATTAAACATAGCTTTCAGGTAAATCTTCAGGCTAGACTTAAAGATCATCCCTCTCCTGAAACGTTTTGGAAACATACTAGAAACAAGATACCTGTAACCTTGCAT